TGGTTACGCATAGTCATACTAATACCAGGTAGTAATAGATGACTAACCAACCAGGTTACATTTTAACTATGTTCTTCTCACTTGAACTGCACGTAAAACAGCTATTTTGAGCAATAATAACAGCGATGCTTGACTACTAATAATCTTTATTTTAGCTTTGTTACAGCAAAAATGGATGGGAACGACTGGCAACACAGCGGCCTTGTGGCAACAACTCTTCTAACTTAACCATCCCAGTATCACAGCTGATTTGCTGTGAAATTCCTCACTGGTTTGGGGTTTTCCATTATACCAGACCTATTATATTTACACAAGTTAACCGTTAACCTTACACCGCTGAAGCCAAAGCACTCGCCGCTAAAAAAAGGGCTCTTGTACAGCATAATTGCTTCCACTTAGATCTCAGATGATCCTTATAAAAGTCTGTGATAGGAACATGGCAGCCGCTGTGGGTTTCTAAAAATATATCACCGCGAGGCTTTTGACTGAGGCAGAAATTGTGTTCGATGAAAGATACAAAACACTGTCGCTGTCTTTTGTCATGCATGCGATCCTCCTCTGACATCTCTTAACATGCACAGAGGGTCTCACCCATGAGCCCTGCTGCATTAGTGATCATGTGGCATTAAATACTGCAGGCGTTCACTGCAGGGCTCTTTATGAGGGCACAGCTGCAGAGACTGCAAGTCAAGGGTGCAGTCCTGCACCGCATGCACACGTAAATTTAAGGGGGTCTGAATACTTTCCGTACCCACTGTATATATATATATATATATATATAAAAAAGTTAATAAAATAAAAATTGTTGTATAAGATTTGCAACTTTATTATAATATTATAAAATATATATGTAATAAAGATTTTAAATAAGTGTCATTAAAAAGAACACACAATATTGACCAACAAACCACTAGTTAAACAAAAACCTAAGAATTCTCAACAAACAGTGAGTCAAAATGTTAAAAATATTGGGTGTTGTTGTTTCATTCATCTCAGGGCTTGCTGTTGTTATTATTATTATTATGTAAAATTTGCAACTTTATAAGCATATTTTGTATAAATATTCTTTAACATCTAATTGCCACGATTGAGGAGTCATTATTCAATAAAATCTTAAGAGTTTAAGTCAGTGCACTGCAATTCAGCACATTTACACAATGCAACAACAAACACTTAAATTACTTTTGAGACTGGTACTCTTTAATAAAAGACTGGTTGTCTTTAAAAAAAAAAACTGATTCACAAATGACTCTCAAATGCATTAGTTAATGTTTATATGGTTTGAATCAATCCAATGACTTGCTTACTGACCTGTTCAGAGCTTATACTAAGTTAACAGCTTAGTTTAATAGCCATTTGTTTTTAGTCTGGAACTGTGTCACATTGTCAACAGAATGTCCAGTGCGTTGCATTGTGGGATACAGGTTGTACATTTACTTGCTGTGCACAGCTTATAAGAATAGTATAATTCTATAAGAATAGTAGGAAGGAACAAACCCGGAATTCACTCAAACATGTCAAGACTTAGATCCTACGACAAACCAATGAATTATCATAATTTCAAGTGCTCCGCCATCTCTTGGCAGTCGAGTTATGATGATAAAAGCAGGATTCATCTGACCTACTTAAAATTCTGTTTATCCAAGACGGCTTTCATCAACAAGCACGGGCAATTACTGTCGCTGTTGTCAAGGAAACCATACCACCCAATGATGGATGGAGTTTATGTAACTCCAGATTAACGCGCAGAATGCAAATATGGAGCATGCTTTGTTTAACCTAGAGCACATGGTTTTATATTAAGCTAATGGTTACGCATAGTCATACTAATACCAGGTAGTAATAGATGACTAGCCAACCAGGTTACATTTTAACTATGTTCTTCTCACTTGAACTGCACGTAAAACAGCTATTTTGAGCAATAATAACAGCGATGCTTGACTACTAATAATCTTTATTTTAGCTTTGTTACAGCAAAAATGAATGGGAACGACTGGCAACACAGCGGCCTTGTGGCAACAACTCTTCTAACTTAATCATCCCAGTATCACAGCTGATTTGCTGTGAAATTCCTCACTGGTTTGGGGTTTTCCATTATACCAGACCTATTATATTTACACAAGTTAACCGTTAACCTTACACCGCTGAAGCCAAAGCACTCGCCGCTAAAAAAAGGGCTCTTGTACAGCATAATTGCTTCCACTTAGATCTCAGATGATCCTTATAAAAGTCTGTGATAGGAACATGGCAGCCGCTGTGGGTTTCTAAAAATATATCACCGCGAGGCTTTTGACTGAGGCAGAAATTGTGTTCGATGAAAGATACAAAACACTGTCGCTGTCTTTTGTCATGCATGCGATCCTCCTCTGACATCTCTTAACATGCACAGAGGGTCTCACCCATGAGCCCTGCTGCATTAGTGATCATGTGGCATTAAATACTGCAGGCGTTCACTGCAGGGCTCTTTATGAGGGCACAGCTGCAGAGACTGCAAGTCAAGGGTGCAGTCCTGCACCGCATGCACACGTGCATCAGCTCATCTGACTGCATCCACACAAGTCAAATGAGTTTACTGAGAGCCTTAAATAATAATCCACATGAGAATTCCATGCGCCCTTCTTCTTTTCATTTAATAACTACTGCTTATGGAGACGGGGTCATCGTGAAATGCAAAATTAGACTGAATTTAGCAGGATGGAAAATGTGTCTGATGGTTTTTTGCACTATTCAAACTTGACATTCCAATATGTTGGCTGTTTTTACAATGTTCGGTTTTCCAAAACCTAGCAACAAACAGTAGTGCACGGCACGCTATAGTAGACTTTGTGTAAATATTTATTAATTTCATTAATGGTTATAGAGGTATGATTTGGCACAAGTTTTATGACTTAAAAGTGTACATTTAACCTTTAAACCCTTCAATATCTAAAACAAAGCAAGTTAATAAACATTGAAACGGGGACGAGATGCATTTTAACAGCTTACTTGCTTATTTAGGTGTTGCAACAGACTTCACCAGGAGCTTCTATAAATAGTAGTGTGCATAAAAAGAAGAAAGAAATCTTTTTCCATGCATCTGAACGCTCCTCACATCCTCTGACAGATACTGGAAACTCAAGTTATGAATGCAGATCACAACAAGTCCATGCAGCAAACACATGATCTATGAGGATTATTAGCAAATCACTTTAGTTTAACTTCATTTCCATCTATGCATTGCATATCAAGGGGCTTTGGTTGACCTTCAAAGCCCAGACTTTGTTTTTAAGATATGTATTTTTTTCCTAATGCATGTCATATGATAATGATAAAAGCACAGATATACGCCCATCATCTCTGTGCATGAAAACTAACAGCATATCCAAAAAGACCGCCAGCGTGCAAACGAAATATAAACATACATATATGAAACAAGCACTTATTAAATAACAATTCAAATGAGACAAACGGGGTATTTCAACCTATATAAACAAAAATAAGTTTTGCATGACTCATCTGTGTCCTGACCTTTGCAAACAGAAAGTGCTTAAAATAACACATGCATAAACAAATAAATCTCAGCGAGTTATTCACATGATTGTTTATGAATATTCATGTCTAAATATGCACCAATAAATACACAAGTTAAGTACTTTCACACTAGGAAAACTGGCTACATAACTAATTGAGTGACTGTTATATTACTATATAAACTATCTAGACATGTAAACAAGCCTATATAGATTTAAACTAGATATATATGTCGATTAAAACTAAATCACGAAGCTTGCTTTAACAACATAAACAAAACGAACTGAATTATCCAGGCGGCTAGTTAGCTTAGCACGAGCCAGCACAAAACTGACTCTCCTCAAGGATAAAATCACATTTCTTACCTGGAATGAGGAAAATACACAAAATCTCAGCGCAGCAGATCATTTAATGCACTCTGTCAGGCGATGAAGATGATATTTTATGTGATGTTGTGAGGAAGACTCGCCCTGACTGACTGACTGACTGTCTTTGTCTGACTGACAGCAGCCGCGCTGACGTAACGACGCGCGCTGACGTCACGACGCACGCCTTGGGTCGACTTGGGAAATGTAGTTTATCACGAACACGCCTCCATAGTGAATGCGATTGTCATATAGATAGATAGACGTGTTTCTTTCGTTATATTTCAATCAGAGTACAGAAAAGAAGCGGCGAGGCAACGGGAGATAGTGTGAAAGACGAAGGTTTCCTTAAATTAACTTTATAATACGTAAAAGTGTGTTTAAAGTTCATTTATTTACATAAACAGTTGCTTGAGTTGATGGCATCTGAGGAGGATTTAAACATGGACATGATATCTTCAGGTACCCTTCAGGTTCTTCTTTCATTAAATGAGAATAAAGAAGAAAGAGTGTTATAAAAAGTTACTTGGGACATTTCCCTGCAGTGACTATAAATTGTCCCTAGTAATAATTTTTATCATTAAATGTATGTGAAACCACTGTTGTTGTAATTTCGGCCACATCTTAAACCACTGATATTACCAAAGAAGTTAAAGTAAATACTCTAGAAATGTACGTCCTTGAAACAGAGCTTTTCGAAACTAATCAGTTAAACTATTGCATCGCAAAATGATTCACTGTTTCAAAGCACTCCAATAGGATCGCGTATCGCGAATCATTTTATTGAGTTTGGGACTTCAAAGCACGTATCGCGAATCATTTGAATCAGATCGGGACTTCGGAGCAGGTTCATGAATCATTTGACTTAGATCGGAACTTCGGAACGGGTTTACAAATCTTTTGATTCACATCGGAACTTCAGAGCGGGTTTGCGAATCATTTCGCAAATTAGATTTGTGATACGCACTTCTAAGTCCCGATCTAAAATAATGGTTCACGAATCATTATTCAGATCTGGACTTCGGAACGGGTATCACAAATCATTTGTTTTCGATCGGGATTTCAGAGCCTGTATCACAAATCATTTGATTCAGATCGGTACTTTGGAGCGGGTTCGCAAATCTTTTGATTCAGGTCGGAACTTCGGAGCACGGATCGTGAATAATTTAATTTAGATTGGATGTCGATTAAAACTAAATCACGAAGCTTGCTTTAACAACATAAACAAAACGAACTGAATTATCCAGGCGGCTAGTTAGCTTAGCACGAGCCAGCACAAAACTGACTCTCCTCAAGGATAAAATCACATTTCTTACCTGGAATGAGGAAAATACACAAAATCTCAGCGCAGCAGATCATTTAATGCACTCTGTCAGGCGATGAAGATGATATTTTATGTGATGTTGTGAGGAAGACTCGCCCTGACTGACTGACTGACTGTCTTTGTCTGACTGACAGCAGCCGCGCTGACGTAACGACGCGCGCTGACGTCACGACGCACGCCTTGGGTCGACTTGGGAAATGTAGTTTATCACGAACACGCCTCCATAGTGAATGCGATTGTCATATAGATAGATAGACGTGTTTCTTTCGTTATATTTCAATCAGAGTACAGAAAAGAAGCGGCGAGGCAACGGGAGATAGTGTGAAAGACGAAGGTTTCCTTAAATTAACTTTATAATACGTAAAAGTGTGTTTAAAGTTCATTTATTTACATAAACAGTTGCTTGAGTTGATGGCATCTGAGGAGGATTTAAACATGGACATGATATCTTCAGGTACCCTTCAGGTTCTTCTTTCATTAAATGAGAATAAAGAAGAAAGAGTGTTATAAAAAGTTACTTGGGACATTTCCCTGCAGTGACTATAAATTGTCCCTAGTAATAATTTTTATCATTAAATGTATGTGAAACCACTGTTGTTGTAATTTCGGCCACATCTTAAACCACTGATATTACCAAAGAAGTTAAAGTAAATACTCTAGAAATGTACGTCCTTGAAACGGAGCTTTTCGAAACTAATCAGTTAAACTATTGCATCGCAAAATGATTCACTGTTTCAAAGCACTCCAATTGGATCGCGAATCATTTTATTGAGTTTGGGACTTCAAAGCACGTATCGCGAATCATTTGAATCAGATCGGGACTTCGGAGCAGGTTCATGAATCATTTGACTTAGATCGGAACTTCGGAACGGGTTTACAAATCTTTTGATTCACATCGGAACTTCAGAGCGGGTTTGCGAATCATTTCGCAAATTAGATTTGTGATACGCACTTCTAAGTCCCGATCTAAAATAATGGTTCACGAATCATTATTCAGATCTGGACTTCGGAACGGGTATCACAAATCATTTGTTTTCGATCGGGATTTCAGAGCCTGTATCACAAATCATTTGATTCAGATCGGTACTTTGGAGCGGGTTCGCAAATCTTTTGATTCAGGTCGGAACTTCGGAGCACGGATCGTGAATAATTTAATTTAGATTGGAACTTTGGAGTGGGTTTGTGATCATTAAATAGATTGGGACTTCGGAGAGAGCGTATCGTGAATCATTTTAATCAGATCGGGACTTTGGAGCACTTATCGTGAATTATTTGATTCAGATCGGGACTTTGGAGCGGGTTCGCAAATCTTTTGATTCAGGTCGGAACTTCGGAGCACGGATCGTGAATAATTTAATTTAGATTGGAACTTTGGAGTGGGTTTGTGATCATTAAATAGATTGGGACTTCGGAGAGAGCGTATCGTGAATCATTTTAATCAGATCGGGACTTTGGAGCACTTATCGTGAATTATTTGATTCAGATCGGGACTTTGGAGCGGGTTCGCGAATCTTTTGATTCAGGTCGGAACTTCGGAGCACAGATCGTGAATCATTTAATTTAGATTGGAACTTTGGAGTGGGTTTGTGATCATTAAATAGATTGGGACTTCGGAGAGAGCGTATCGTGAATCATTTTAATCAGATCGGGACTTTGGAGCACTTATCGTGAATTATTTGATTCAGATCGGGACTTTGGAGCGGGTTCGCGAATCTTTTGATTCAGGTCGGAACTTCGGAGCACAGATCGTGAATCATTTAATTTAGATTGGAACTTTGGAGTGGGTTTGTGATCATTAAATAGATTGGGACTTCGGAGAGAGCGTATCGTGAATCATTTTAATCAGATCGGGACTTTGGAGCACTTATCGTGAATTATTTGATTCAGATCGGGACTTTGGAGCGGGTTCGCGAATCTTTTGATTCAGGTCGGAACTTCGGAGCACAGATCGTGAATCATTTAATTTAGATTGGAACTTTGGAGTGGGTTTGTGATCATTAAATAGATTGGGACTTCGGAGAGAGCGTATCGTGAATCATTTTAATCAGATCGGGACTTTGGAGCACTTATCGTGAATTATTTGATTCAGATCGGGACTTTGGAGCGGGTTCGCGAATCTTTTGATTCAGGTCGGAACTTCGGAGCACAGATCGTGAATCATTTAATTTAGATTGGAACTTTGGAGTGGGTTTGTGATCATTAAATAGATTGGGACTTCGGAGAGAGCGTATCGTGAATCATTTTAATCAGATCGGGACTTTGGAGCACTTATCGTGAATTATTTGATTCAGATCGGGACTTTGGAGCGGGTTCGCGAATCTTTTGATTCAGGTCGGAACTTCGGAGCACAGATCGTGAATCATTTAATTTAGATTGGAACTTTGGAGTGGGTTTGTGATCATTAAATAGATTGGGACTTCGGAGAGAGCGTATCGTGAATCATTTTAATCAGATCGGGACTTTGGAGCACTTATCGTGAATTATTTGATTCAGATCGGGACTTTGGAGCGGGTTCGCGAATCTTTTGATTCAGGTCGGAACTTCGGAGCACAGATCGTGAATCATTTAATTTAGATTGGAACTTTGGAGTGGGTTTGTGATCATTAAATAGATTGGGACTTCGGAGAGAGCGTATCGTGAATCATTTTAATCAGATCGGGACTTTGGAGCACTTATCGTGAATTATTTGATTCAGATCGGGACTTTGGAGCGGGTTCGCGAATCTTTTGATTCAGGTCGGAACTTCGGAGCACAGATCGTGAATCATTTAATTTAGATTGGAACTTTGGAGTGGGTTTGTGATCATTAAATAGATTGGGACTTCGGAGAGAGCGTATCGTGAATCATTTTAATCAGATCGGGACTTTGGAGCACTTATCGTGAATTATTTGATTCAGATCGGGACTTTGGAGCGGGTTCGCGAATCTTTTGATTCAGGTCGGAACTTCGGAGCACAGATCGTGAATCATTTAATTTAGATTGGAACTTTGGAGTGGGTTTGTGATCATTAAATAGATTGGGACTTCGGAGAGAGCGTATCGTGA